TTGAAAAACGGATAATTTTTTAATTCTCTATATAACCCCTTTGTAAACCCTGTTCACCGAAGTCTATTTACGAACATACGTAAAGATATTACACAGAAAAAATACACAGAAACACTGGAAATCAGTTTTTGGCAGACAATCACTTTTTGGCACAACACCGGTTCTCTAAAAAGAGAAATCCCATCACTACCCACTGAGTTTTCTTTCTTTCTTTTTTTTGACCAGTGTATATTTGCTCATAAATTGTGTTTTTCCCTATCCTTTAACAAAATGACATAAGAGTGCAAACTAATTCTCACTATCTACTTTATGAAGGTGTGGCTTGGTCCAGGTTATTTTTAGAGTAAATTAAGCAGCTGATATGATAGAAAATATTTTAAGGGAAGGCTTTCTCCAGCCACTAAACTCAGCTTACATCTTGTACTCCGAACCTCTAGGCAGCGACAGAGAGCCCCAGCTGTTACTCTCCTGTGCGTAAAGATGGCTCGTTGGTCAGGCGCACCAGCTCTATCCGTGGACCCTCCCACTAGTGGAAGAGTGACACGCCATTCAATTGCTGCCTGGCCCGCTGCATGTAGGAAACAGGAGGGAGCTTTGAGCACAAGGATATCTTACTATCAGGCAGGAGGAGGGAGAAAACCCGGCTACAGTGAAGCAAAAGTTGGACGAATCGCGTCGACATGGGGATCCGAAAAAAGACTAACAAGAATCCGCCGGTGCTGAGCCATGAGTTTGTCATCCAGAACCATGCAGATATTGTTTCCTGTGTTGCTATGGTGTTTCTCCTCGGCTTGATGTTTGAGGTGAGTCCACATGTTGAATGGCTTATTTTAAACTGTGGATCACTCGAGGGATGCTCGGCAGGAAAAGTGAGGGGGATTATCGCTAGAATGAATGCCGAATACTCCCAATCGGTTCTCATGAGAACTGACATGGCTGTCTGATCTATTCTTCACACTACTTCCTCTCGTAATCGAAACTTTTCCCCATCACGATGGCCTCGCGTTTGCGTTTCATTCCAGAGCGTTCTAACCTCACTCAACTGCTCTCGGGTAATGTTATTTACAGTGACTAAATATGAGGTTTTCTTAAAGCGTCGTGGGAACTATTTCACTCACATCTGGCTGCTTTCCCACCTAAAATTCGACAAGCTATTTAAGAAAAAAAAATCATCGACACTAAGGCCCGCGGATCGAGAATGCACGCAAAAAGAAAATCAAAAACAAAAGTATTTTTTTGCGATATGTTTTGCAGAAATTTCCCATCAAGCGGCAAGTTTGCATTGCAGCACTTTATCGAGCTCAGTGGTTACGGTGTTTGGCAACACTCTGGACTTGGGTTAGTTTGTATGTGTTACGTGGCAATCGCGCAGCGGTTCACACAGCGCTGTCATCACCGAAACCCGCTTTCTCCGTCACTCAAAGTTGTCACCGGAGCTGGGAGAGCGCTTCAGACGTGACCGGACACAGCAAGCTGACACACGGGATCGTGTCACACAGCACAGCAGTGTCTTAACGCGCTTCAATCTGCTCTGCTTTGAAGCAAATGTGCGTTAATGTCAAAGCGCGTTTCATCCAAGGCGGAAAAAAAGCACCACCGCTGCTGGTGTCCAGCCGGCCATAATTAAAACCGCTTCCTGTTTGTACTTTCCAAAGTAAAACTCCTGGGAACTACGTGCTGTTGGCAGCGTGGATGTTGAAAAGCGTGATATTTGCAGGAATTGTTAGATTTATCTGTGCTACTTTAGCTTTAGCTCTTTTTTTTCCTTTGCTTTGAGATATTTATTTGTTGCAAGCCGGGTTGTCTTGCTGTGAAGGACTAATATGCAACTTCCAACTGATATCTCATTAGCTGCCTGCCTTGATTAAGTTATCTTTACTTTCAGTGAGGGTAAGGAGTTTGTTGCTCTACATAATTCACATTTAGTGTCATGCATTATCTCGTGTTCTTAAATTTTCTGACTAAAAATATTGTATACAAAAAATACATAAGCAAAATGAAAGTAAAACAATTGGAAGGCATAGAAATGTCAAGTATTTGTACCTGTTGTTTTGCTTTCTGTTATAGTTTTCCCTCTTTAGGCCAGGAAAACAAATATCTCCACTATAAATAGAACTATAACTGCACAAAATTAGTGGGACACAAAGGAAAAACTCTGACTTCTTGTATTAGTAAAAGCCTTTTTACTCCTATGGACACGAGTATCTGGCCACCTACACACTGCACCTGCAGGAGCTTTTATGACATCCCATTCTAAGTACATAGGTATTACATAATATGGAGTTGGTCCCCACCCCCCCTTCCTTTGCAGCTACGACAGCGTTCGCTCTTCTAGGAAGGATTTCCACAAGAGTTTGGAGTGTGTCTGTGGAAATCTTTGCCCTTTTATCCAGAAGAGCGTTGTGCTGAACGAGAGGCCCTCGCTCAAAGTCTTTCTTTCAAAGAGGTTTTTGTTTTTGTTTTTTTAGATCAAGGTGGCACAGTCAAGTTCTTCCTAACCAAACGCATCCACCCGTTTTCCTTGCTTTATACACGGGGACACAGTTGTCCTGGAACAGAAAAACTCCTCCCCAAACTGTTCCCACAAACCTGGAAAAACCTAGAATTGTCCAAAATGGCTCGGTAAGATTTAAGATTCACTGGGGCTAAAGGGCCCAGGGGCCCCCAAAACAACCCCACAGCATTCAGTGATTAAAAGATAAGGCCCAGAATCTTTTGTCTATATGGTGTATAGCTTAATAAAAAGACTTTTACTAATATAAACTCTAAGTGTTTTTTTCCACTGTGTCTATTGTGCAGAAAAGTTGTGTTTATAGTGATGATATGTTTGCTTTCCTGGACCGAATAGGGAAAAGCATAACAGAGAAAGCAAACAGATAAAAATACTGAATATCGGTAAGTTTGTGTTAAACATAACAGCATTAACGCAGGTGTGTTATATTACCACTATATTCATACACATCCTAAATGTATTATTTCAATTTTTAATAAGCATTTTAACTTGTATTTTGTACAATTGCTGTCTGACTGAGATTGACACGACTGCCTTTTGTCTGCAGGTCACCTCTAAGTTTGCAGTCTTCTTCATAACTGTCCAGTACAACGTCACCATATCAACAAATGGTAGGTTAACCAGTGGTGTGTGGGGAGAACAGATGTTTCAGTGCAGTACTTTCTTTTACTTGCTGCATTCCTCTCATTTGGATTCTAAAGTGGCACTTACGCAGCCCTGCACAAACCCATTTCAGGGTTCTTCCCCCCCCCCCTGCTTCCGAGCTAAATTTAGTCTGCCTGATTTATAAAGTTCTCTTGTGGCAAGGTTGCGCCGGGCGAATTTGGGCTAAGGTGTAATATAGGCCTCACAATCCGAGTCCTGCTCCTTTCAAGGTTAACAGAATCTCTGCCAGCTGACTTCAGATACCGACACTGCAGGACCTGTTCGTGCTGTGTGTGGTGTGCAGGCTTCCAGCTCGGTGATTCAGCTCTTATCTGCTGCACCTGACGCCTTGCCGTATTCTGTAACTTATTTACAGCTCGAATCTCATGAGCCACATAGCATCCAGCGTCCTAATCTCTCTGCAGTGAGTGTTCTGAAACAATTTCAATGATGGCTGCTGTATTTTTGGATCAATTTCTTTGCGAGTTTCTGTAAATGATGACCAAAACCACTCAGTCCATCTAGAATACTTGCTGGGAACTGTGTTCACGTATCAGCTATATCTGTTTTTATGGACACTGAGCTCAAGGGTGCATGGAAATAAATGTAATTTTAGAAAGCTAGAAGAGATTCAGCGTGTATATTAGTTCAAATACAGTCTCTTGCGTTTTCAAAGCGGTGTAATTCTGCACAGCCGGGGCTCACTAATCCAAACATCTCACTCCAGGAAAGCGCACCTGACATTTTGGATGTGAATCAATCACAGATGGGTGTTGATTTTTCACTCTGCGTGACTTTTGTGTGCTGCAGAAGCACCAGAGGAGACTGCCGTGAACCACTTCCACCACGGGATCAAGGACTTGGCAACTATCTTCTTCTACATGCTGGTGGCTATCATAATGCATGCCATTATCCAGGAGTATGTGCTGGACGTAAGTGGGATAAAGACACGGAGTTAAGGTCATCTCTGTTAGAAACGGTTCTGTATTGTTCACTGCTGGTCATCTTTGCAGAAAATCAACAGGAAGAAGCACTTCTCCAAAACCAAACACAGCAAGTTCAATGAGTCCGGCCAGCTCAGCGCCTTCTACCTCTTCTCCTTTGGTTGGGGCACAAGCATCCTGCTCTCTGTACGTACAATAGCCAGCTGCCTTTGGTTTTTGTTTGCTTATGCCTGGCCCCATAAAACATACTTAAAAGCTTGCTTGTTCTTAGGAAAACTTCCTGTCCAATCCAGTCAGCCTGTGGGAGGGTTATCCGCATACACTGATGCCGTAAGTTGTGATGCTGATTGTGGAAATTCATCAATCCTTTGGGACGTTTCTAAGCTTTTTGTAATGTCTCGCTTTCTTTCAGATTCCAGATGAAATTCTACTACATCTGTCAGCTGGGCTACTGGCTGCATGCTCTACCGGAGCTGTATTTCCAAAAGACAAAGAAGGTAAGAGGACGTGCGGAGCCAGTCGCTTTGGGATGGGACGATGCGACGCAGTTTCCTGTTTGACTTCCACGGCCGAGCCGCATTGTTTCAAAGTCTCATCATCCTCTCGCTTAAATCACCATGTGCAGAGCCGCACTGCTGTAAATATTTTGACCATGTTTGGCCTCCCACCCTTTGTGTTTACTGTTTAGGAGGATATTCCACGCCAGCTTGTGTACATCTCCCTGTACCTGGTGCACATCGCTGGCGCCTACATTCTAAAGTAAGAAGCGCCCACTGTAGAAAGCCTTTAATTAAGTGTGTGAGTTGGTGTGGCTTGTGTTTGTACACTGCCCTTTAGGAGAAAGTTTGTGGTGTCCTTGTGGGGTTTTTTCCTGTCATTTGTAATGAAAAACTCTCTAAAGATGTTTCTTTGTGTGTTACAGCCTGAACCGCCTGGGTCTGGTCCTCCTTGTGTGTCATTACTTTGTCGAGCTTCTGTTCCACATTTCCCGTCTGATCTACTTCAGCAATGAGAACAGGCAACTGGGGTGAGTTCACTATTTAGGAGGTTTTAGATCGAAAGAGGGCAAAGTCTTAAAACTTGTCCTCTTGTTTTGCAGTTTCACCATTTGGGCGGTCTTGTTTGTCCTCGGACGGCTGCTCACCCTGTCCCTATCTGTCCTCACCGTGGGCTTTGGCCTCTCCACAGCTGAGAACCAAGGTTTCGATTGGGCCGCAGGAAACTTTAACGTCCTTTTTGTTCGGTAAGTGTTTCTGAGAGTAGAAACTGAAATATCTGAACCTGCAAACGGAGCTAAAATTAATTTCTTTTGCTCGGACAACCTTTTTTAAAATGTGTATTTCGTGGAGATCGAAGCTAAATTTCTTGATATTTTTTTTAAAAATTCATGTGCGGCAAATGCAAATTTGTAAGAAGCGCTCATAGACCGCTCACAGTGGAGACGTGAGGCCTTCTTTGTAGACCTTTAAGAGCATGTTGTATAGAGCTAAAATAAACCTACAGCAAGAACATCGTCATACAACAGGAAGTGCACTCCTGCGTCCATAAATGAGCATGACGCGCAACCACAATGCGTCTTGTGCTAAGCAGATTAAACACTTCCTACTTTGTTTTTGTGTGCCGTTTCTACCAGTGTCTTGTGCGTAAGATAAAGTGCGATGCTTTTATTTCTTTCTCTACTAGGGTAACTGTCCTGGCCGCCATCTGCCTCACACAGGCCTTTATGATGTGGAAATTTATCAACTTTCAGCTGCGCCGGTGGAGAGAGCATGCCCAAGCTCAGACCTTGAAAAAGAAACAAGCTCCTTCCAAGAGCAAATCAAAGAAAGACAAAGGTGAGAGCACGAGCATGAATTAGCTCCCTATTTGCAAAAACATGGCTGGAGGTTCCTCTCCCAGGATTAATTAAGCTTACAACTTTCCATATTTAAAGCATAATATCTAGCTATTTTTTTAGTGTAAATAATCCTTTCATGCCCTAGACTGGCTTGGATGTAACTCTACACCTTTCTTTCTTGGAGTATGTTCGACTTTGTGGTGCATATGCAAATTAGTCCTCATCTCCAACTCCACCTACCCTTCTACCACTCACTTCCAGTGCCATCATCATAGGTGCTTGCATTCAGCTCAGCTTGGACTATGAAACTGTTCTGTAGTAAAATAGCGTGGGCAGTGTTTATGTACGATAAAAGGAATTGTAGTGGAAAACTGCCCTGAGTGCTCAGAGTAGAAAAGCACTATTTGAATACAGCTCTCATTCACACAGTGGGATCACCACAGTCGTTCTTTAAAATGCACAATTAAATGTCTTTTATTTTTCAGTTTTTCAAATGACAAAACCGTACATAACTTAAAGGCTTGTCTGCTCTTTCACATTTTTGATCTCTCCTTTTTTTCTTTTTTCTTTTTTTTAGCCAACGGAGTAAATGGAGTTAACTCTCACCAAGCTGATTCACCAAGAGCCAGAAAAGAGAAATCCTCATAAAACATTCCTCTCAGCCCTTTCCATCGCCTCCCCACCTCAGAGAACTCTCCTCTCACTCTCTGTCCCTTCCTCACGTCCGGCCCAGCAGATCCTCCGGCTCCTTGATCTACGACACGCATCTTCAGCTCCCACACACGACTGACCTCCCAGCTGGACTTCAAGGACCAGAATGCAGCTTCGCTTCTCATCCAGCACACCGTCATTTCTGAATCTTTGCCCTGCTGTGCGATTGTGAATGAAAAGAAAACCAATTAAGAAAATAAACTATGAAAAAAAAAAAAAAAAAAAAAAAGACCTTTATTTAAGAAGTGCCTATTGATACGGAGCGTTTTTTGTACAGAGTGTAATTTTAAAATTTCAGGAATGATCACTGCAGTGTTTTAATGTTTCTCCCATTTTATCTTTTCATGCTTTTTCTAAATACTGTGTATTTCAACTCGTCTCTTCTGTTTTTTTTTCGTCTCCTTTTATTTATAACCGCTCGCTCTGCTCCTTTTCTTTGCCACCGACTCCTGCCCCTCTGTGGGGGGATTTTGCAGACACTATATGTGAATTTCCCTGTAATGTCTCTTGTTTTCCCCTAAGTGAGGGATGCGAAAAGGAAACAAAATCTTATCTTTGTCTTTCAGATTAAGACTGGGGTCACAAATCGACTCAAACTCAGTGTTTTCTCCATTTCGTTCTTCAGCGGACACCTATAGATGGAACGTAAGGTAGAATATGGAGAATTTTAAAGTCCCCTTATGAATAAGAATAAGGGTGAGTGTGCAAAAAGCATTCGAGGAAAACAGGAGACATCTTTGTGTAATAATGTAAGTAGATTCACGGTTCAGTATTGTGCAAAACTGCCAGCAAAGTAACCTGATGTAGCATTAAGTGTCAGAGTTCAGAACAGCTTTGTACTGAGATCATGAACTGTTGCGTTTGTATCTATAGTTCTAAGAAATAAACACGCCTTGTGTTTTAGCTTTGGATGAGATGACTTTCTAAGAGAGACGGAAAAGACTTAATCAGGCAATATGTCGGTTTAGTGAGTTTGAATCGCTGTCTTGTATGATCCTGCCTCATTTGCTGTTTAAGTGGAATTGTTTCCCTGTGTTTGTATGGCCTGCTTGAAAAATGTTCACATGAATGACTTGTTGTAAAAGCATGGACCGAGAATGAAACATAACTATGTTTTATTTAGCTTTTAACACCCCCCTCCCCTCCCTTTACCCTACTATTGACTGTGCCATATGAGCCTGGTTGATATGCCTTTTATTTACATGCCATAAGATAAATTTGCAAAGCTACAGAGAGCAATCAAATACGTTTTCAAGTAGTTTCCCAGTTAACACCGGCCTGTTCCAAAAGATTAACCCGTTGGGTATGCAGTGGTTGCCTTTAAGCTGCATGTGGATTTCTGAACCTGTCCTGAGGGGTTATCTTGATAAAGGAATAAAATGTATTGAAAACAAATTCTCAGAGTTGTGACTTGTGTATTATTATCCGTGTACACATTTTAGTTTTTATTTGAAGAAAGAGGCACACAGTTGAGATCACTCAGATGAAGCCTGGTATTTAACGTTTGAATGCAATCACTTCTTACACCTGCTGGGAACCTGGAGTGAAAAATCAAGAATAGTTCATTTCACTGATATTTAATGCGAAGGGGGCAGTGTTACGTCGAATTATGCCTCAACACTGTATGAAGCTTTTATTTTAGACGCCGAAATTAAGATCTCTAATTGTTTCACTATACAAGTTAAAAGGGGGCTTTGTGTTTGTCGTGATTTTCTGTCACGTAGGTATGTGCAGTTGTGGTAAGAAGATGACATCCACTCACTATGGGTGTGAATTTCATGGTAATTTGGGGATTTTAATGATTTCTTTTAAATGTTTTTGGTTTGTTTTCCCAGGATTGGACAATTCACCGACATAAATCTTTAGTGGCTTCAAAAAACAAAACAAAAAAACACACAAGAACTGGGTGCACAAGTTAAAATTTATTTTGGATTTTCTCTAATCCGCATTGTCAAAAGTATATTTACATACAGCCACACTAATTTTTGGTTAAGTGTCTTTTAGCAAGTTGGACCACAACCATATACTTTTAGTAGCCATCACAAGCTTCTGGCATAATTCTGGCTGGATATTTGACCGCTCTTCTTGGCACAATTGGTAGCATTTATTTCAATTGGTTGGTTTCCTGGTACAGACCAGACTTTGAAGCATAGCCCACAAACTTTCAATAGGGTTGAGGTCAGGGTTTGGGAAGGTCGTTGTAGAAGTACAATGTTAGCCTGCTTTATTCGTTCCAGAACAACTTTTGATGTGTGCTGTTGGATCATTGTCCTGTTGGAATACCCAGCTGTGTCCATTTTTCAAACATCTAGCTTTTGACTTGAGGTAAATTAGAAGAATTGGGAGGTAGTCCCCCTTCTTCATTATTCCATCCACTTTGTTCGATGTACCACTACCACTTGTACCAAACCAGACCCAGAGCACGATGTTATCACCACTGTGCCTGACAGTTGGTACAGTGTTCTTAGGGTTTGAAAGCGTCACCTTTACTACTCCAAATGTACCTCTTGTCATTGTGGCAAAATAACTCAATCTTTATCTTGTATGGCCATAAAACATTTGGTAGACTTGCAAATTTAAGTCAAGCTTGAAGGTGCTGATTTTGGAGCACAGGCTTCTTTCTTGGTCAGCTCCCTTTTAGCCCATTTTAATGTAAAACTTGATTCACCAATGGATAGCGGCACTGGTATTCTAGCAGTTTCCAGTTCATGGCAAATTTGGCCCTTGGTGGTTCATGGTGGTGATTGTTCCTGAACATCATGAACAATTTCCTCTTATCTGAGGGTGATAATTTGGGTCTTCCTACAGACCATGGCATTGGTATGTCCAAATAACTTGTATTTATGTACAGTTGTTTGAGCCAAAAATAAAGCTACAATTTTCCTGCTTGGATGTTCACTGAGGCAACTGGACGTTCCTATTGTTCGGAGTATTGATCAATCCAACAACTTCTGTCAAACAAATTAATTTTTGTGCTGGCAAAGAGAATTAACCTGTTATAGTCAATCACGATCACTAACGGGAAGTTAATAGGTCTTGGCCTCAAAGAAATCATTAAAAGCCCATAACTACTATAATGTTCATGCCCATCACGAGTGGATGTCAGCTTCTGACAACAACTAGTTATATGACAGAAAATTATGGACAACATGAGACCCCTCAAAACCTATATAATAAAAAAAGGTGTAAATTAATCTACAACTGAATACAAGACAGGAATGACTTATTTTACCACTCAAACAGCCAGTTTCAAGCTATACATCCAATGCTCTTCATACAGTTAAAACCACATGCCAGCCTTTTTGGTTTGTAGTTTCATGCACAGGTAACGAAAAGCAATGTGTTTATCCCTACTGTAACTGATGCAGTCTT